AGTTATGTTTCATTTTTATTGAAGATGGGGAAAGAGGATATATAATTCTAATGTAAGAGATGATTGAATTTATTTTAAATTATTATGATACTGAGCTAAAAATTGTAGGATTTCTTTAACCAATAATCCTAAGACAAGGCCAACCAAAAGTCTGATTTTAGAAAAGAAGAAATTAAACAGTGTCTTGGTGTTTTGGTTTTTTTCTGAAGTCAGAATTTAACTCCTTTTCCTTTCAGGTTCTTCAATTTCACAGTATATTTCATTACTTGATTTGAATCTTGCTCTCATAATGTGGAACCCAAAGAAGAAATTATTTTTTTAAAAAGGGGTTTATTGATTTTTTAACTAAAACATTGATTATACAAATTTATGGGGTACATAGTTACATTTCAATACATGTATACAGCATGTGATGTTCAAAACAAAAGTAATCAGCATATTCATCATTGCAAAAATTTATCATTTCTTTGTGATGAGAACTTTTGATCTCCTCTCTTCTAGCTATTTTAGAACATGCAATAAATTATTGTTAATTATAGATGCCTAGCACTACTGTACACCACTAGAACTTATTTTCCATGTAATTTTGTGTCCATTAAGCAGCTCCCTCTCACCTGGACCCCTCCTTCACAGCCTGTAGTAACTACAGGTCTACTCTCTACCTCTAAAAGTTCAACATTATTTTCTTTTTAAGCTCTCACAAATGAGTGAGTACATGTATTTTGTGTCCATTAAGCAGCTCCCTCTCACCTGGACCCCTCCTTCACAGCCTGTAGTAACTATAGGTCTACTCTCTACCTCTAAAAGTTCAACATTATTTTCTTTTTAAGCTCTCACAAATGAGTGAGTACATGTAGTATTTGTCTTTCTGTGCTTGACTTATTACCAAAGAAGAAATTCTAATAAGGATCTCACCAGTGCCAAAGATAGTTAGATGATTATTTCATAGTTTTTGCTACATGCATTAATTCATCCATTTGCAATTTTGCTAGGAGCTAGGGATGTCAATCTCTATTGGAATAAAAATCCAATAAGACTGCTGCTGCGGAAAGGAGGATGCTTGGGAAAACTGCCTTCTAATTTTTATAAATGACGAGTTTTGACTCCCGCTTAGTGGACCACTGCATTTTGTTATTAGTAGCAGAATGCTCAACTTCAACAACCAGACCAGATCCTCTGGTTCAATTAAACTGAAGTCCCGTTAATGAAAATAAGATCAGATTAGTCAATTAGTTAATGTGCACTGGGAACTGACAGAGTGAACAGTGTGAATATGTAGCTTTTTGGAAATACAATTATTAATTTCATTAAATGCTCTTGATCAAGTTATATGACATGCAACAAAATGCATTTCAAAACAGTTACACCTTTCAAGGTTTCCTTTTTGGCTGTGTGAAAACCCTAGAAAGCATCCATAGGAAACAGCTACTTCTTTCTCTAGAGGCTTCCTTGGGATCTTTCAATTTGAGCATTTATAATAAAATACCGTAATTTAGATGAGTACTATACAGTCAATTATAAAAGCACACATTTTCTCATGTAATTAAAATCTCATCATGGGGAGTTTACTACTTAGCAAGATGCAAAAACAAATAGTTCAAATGAAGAAATATCTCCTGGCTTTTCCATGATTAAAAAGTCTGTCCTTGGGCATTATTCATTAGCTACACCTTTCAAATAAAATATCTTACACAGAGAACAATAAGGATTATATTTTCTTATAATAAGCTTCAAAGCTCACAAATGTCAAAATCTGCAATTTAAAAGTATCTGTAGAAAGAGAAACCACAAAGTGCAATGTATGTTCATGCAGTGTTAGCTGCCATACATATAAAACGAGACTGACTTAAGAGGAAAAATCATAAACCCTATGGTTACAAATGAATATAAAAATAATTGGGATTCGCAGGACAGAAAAAATATGCTTCTAGATGGTGATTATTAATTTTCTGTATATATGACTCAAGTTGACTATTATGCATTGAGAGCTTATTTATGGAATTTGCAAAACATATATTAATATCCTCCTTAATAAGTTGGGTTCGAATATGGCCTATGAAACAGTTCCTGTTTAATTATAACACTGAATTAATGGCACACTTAATATTTATTCAAATTTCTCTATAATCTCACACGTGTCCTTGAACTTTCAATAAAAAAGGCACTTAAAATATCTGAATATACAGACTTGCATTTTCATTTAAAGACATAACTAGTTCTTAAAACATTAAGCTAGAGAGATAGAAGCAAAAAAGAGTATGTACCATCACAAAGAGTTATCTAATATGCTTTACAGCTCAGGCATTTCTATTACTGAAAGTTATCACAGCAAATTAGATACAGATATAGAATTTGTTATCAAAAACACTCTTATTCGTTTCATTCTGTGGCAAATCTTCCATTAGGATTGAATTGTGACCCTAAGTGTCCACAGCGGCTGTCTGGATAATGAGATCTTTCTCATCTTTTTATACATTTTCTAAAGGTTCTTTAATGAACGTGGATTATATATGCATGTTTATGTATAACATAAAATGTAATATCATTTCACTAAAAAATATGATAAACAAATTACACTATGTGTACCCCCATTGTTGTCAAAAAGTCCTGCTTAAAGTTGGTACTTGGGGAAGCAGGTGATGGTGGTTTGTTCACTGTAGATTTCTACTTTTCTGTAAGTTTGGAAATATCATAATAAAGGGATAAAAAATGTAGTGCCTCTTTCTACATAGTCCTCTGCCAGGGTTTATACTGAGAAAGTTACAGAATATGTCCTGATTCTCTAGGAATATACAATTTAGGACATGTAATGCTGATGAAGATTGACATATAGAAAATACCTAAGAATAAATGAGCATGGGTTAAATACAAAGAATAAAACTGAGTTCACTCTTCTAATTTTCCTGGTTATCTCCTTTCTCTTGTTTCTACTCTGACCTCCCTCAAACATTGACCCCTCTCTCATTGCCATGTGTTATCTGAGAAATCAACAAGTCCTGCCTTTTTTTCCTCTGCAGCTTCTTTGAGGGTCATCGCTTTCCACTTAAACAGCCACTGTCCATCTGAGCCCTTGCCATTTTATGCCTAGATTGCTGCAAAGACATCTTAGTTGTACTCCTTAATCTCCGGTCTCACTTGATTTCAAAATTCACCTTGAATCCTGCTGTCAAATTCAACTTCCTAAATAAGCATCTATCATTTGTCTACTTTAGGAGCACGAGGCACACCCCTCTCGTACTCTTCAACATAGCTGTTCTGCCTACCCAGGCCATTCCTCTTATAATCCTTCAGGAAACTTATCTATGCATTTTGCTGTCTCCTTGTCTTTGCTCAGTCTTCTGCCCCATGTTACACTTCCATAAATATCATATTTACTTATTTATTATAAATACTTGTTTACATAGCAAGTATTGAATACTTTCAAGACCTACTTCCTCCTTAAATGCCCTATTATTACAACCATCATTTTACCTTCCTCTGAATTACTTCAGTGTTTGTGAGTGTCATCTGAACCACATGACCCTTGTAGAGAGTAAGTGATCCAGTGGATCTCAACCGTAGCTGCACATCAGAATTTCTGGGGGTACAGCACAGACATCAGAAAAACAAAAAATTATATCAAGTATTTTAAAAATGTCCCAGGTGATTCTAACACACAGGGAGTTGAGAACCATTCATCTAGATAATATTAGGTTTCTTGATGTGGAAGTACTATTCATTCATTTGGTCAATAGCTATGGTGTCTATTACAGAGGTAGAAAACTGGCAGCTCTGGCATGTTTTGTTTGTCTCACAGAGTGTTTCTAAAAAATTTTAGACAATATTTTAAAATTGGGAAATTTATCATAAGCATCCATATACCCAGCTCTTCTTAAAAAAATGGAAGATCTAGTGAGACTGGGTCTGCATTCTTGCAAGGCAATACTGGCTAGAGCTGAATTGCAGTTACCCCTTCTAGACTGAGAGTGAGCTTCCAGTTGGCTTCAGTTCCTACCACTCCCTACAGCTCCCTTACAGGGGCTGAGTGTTAATTGCCATTTATCGTATCCTTTGCATAGTTATTAAAATTACCGTTTCAGTAAAAGGAGAACCATTTATCTGAAGCACTACCTCACCCCTTTCCCTTAACTCTTGCTGCCTTAACCCTCCTCTCCCAAGTAAGTCTCACTGCTGAAGTAGAAAATGTTTCTTTGGGTCAAATATCCAGGCAACCATCTTCCTGGCTTCAATAGTGATGTGTGTCTGCAGTCCCTGTCCTGGTATATGGCAAGTATTGTGTTAAGTGCTAGAGATTCAGAAGAATGAGGTACAGTGCCCTCTTTGGAGAAGGTCACACTTTATAGGGACAATGCAGACATATCATGCTTATAATTTAGGTGCCTGAGTGTGTACCTGATTCTGCTGGTCTTAAAGGATGACCTCCAAATTTTATTTCAGTTTGGCGAAGTTTAGTCATGTTTAGCAGCTGTGTTACATGTGGAACATCTGTTGTTAGTTGGCAGCTTCGCGGAATAATGCTGGTAGGTTCATCTGCCGGAAAAGGCACACCATATACTGCTGGAAATAAAGACAAACATTCATTCTGCAAATGTAAGCCATTTCTGCCAAATGGACCTATCTTACAAATGAAATTAAGTAAAGTAAAACATTTTAGAGTATAACTTTGGATGAGTTATTCAACCTTTCAGTCTTGATGTTCTTGTCTGTAAAATGAGCATAGTAATTTTTCTGCTTGCTACCTATGATTGCAGAAAGACTTAAATGAGATAAAGCACATAACATACGGAGCAAATGCAGAGAACTATGCAATAAATGAGAACATTCATTGGAAATATTTTATATTGACTTTTAAATACTTGAGGTGTGACTTGATAGAACTAGTTAGGTATGCTCCAGTTGAGATTTCTGGGAGTACATCAGCTCATCTATGAGATCAATAAGTACAATAACATTATTGAATAACCTAAGCACCACAGCCATTGTATGAGTAAATTAATTTTTTACCTTTTTATTTTGAAGTAATTTTAGACTTTTTAAAAAGTTAAGAAAATAGAACAGAGAGTTTCCTATATACCCTTTACCCAGCTTCCCCTAATGTTAACATCTTAACTTTGAATACTTTCAAAGAAAAAATAGTTTATTATAATTAAAATAGTATTTTATTAATTTCATTCACATATATTTAAATTTTCTTTTTAATAAAATTTCTGTTCGTGTTCTTAACCCATTTTACTGTTAGTACATTATTTCCTGTTTATTTGTATGACCTCTTTTATGGTAAATATATTAAGCCTTGTCATTTGAAGTAAGTGGGAATATAAATTGGTATTAATATCCTAGCAAGCAATTTTACTATATATATATATATGTCAAAAGCCTTAAAAATGTCCCTACCATTTTACTCAGTAATTTCACTTTATGAATCTATTCTAAACTAAAAAAATTAGAAATTCAGACAAAGATCTATGTAAATAGGTGTTTATAATTTCTGAAAAATAAACAACTTAAATTTCCATCATTTGAGCAGTGTTAAACACATTACAGTGTTTTATGGGATGGGAAAGAGCCCCAAGAAACTGTATTTATGAAGATGTCTTAATGACATGGGAAAGGCTCAAGATAAGAAGTTAAATGAAAATAATAGATATAAAACTTTATATCAACTGCAGAAAATACATATGTAAAATGTATGAATGGCAAAAAGATGGGAAGGAAATATACCAAAATATATGATAACTTTAGGTTGTTTAGCTTAAGCATAGTTTTAATTTTACTCTTCACAATATTTTCTATATATGTTTGATTTTTATGAGTAATGTTCCTATTTCTAGAATCTAGTGGAAAAAATTTGTGTATGTATATGTGAACGTGAGTATCGAGAAAAATTCAACCAATCATCCCTCAAAAACATCCTTATATAAGTATAAACTCTCTCATGTTTATAAAGGAAAATGTTAGAAGTGGTTTTCTAACACCCAGCCATGGCATTTTTCTAATTAGATCCTAATGTCCTAATTTGAAAAAGAAAATGTATCATTAACTAAAAACTTAAATACTCATCAGCAATGTAATGGTTTCTAAGTGTCCTAATGCTCCAGTCACTAAAAATGTACTAAATTTACAAATTGTAGTTTTCAGGTGTTCTTTGTCCATTCATTCTTTACCTGTCATCAACATTTAGAAAATCAATATAAAGTAATTTAGTAAATGAACTCTCAAAATAGAAAATATTTGGAAAAAACAATTAAACTAACTCCAGATATATATTTGGCATATCATTTCAAACTCCTTTGAGGTAGAAAAAGATCATTTCCACATCAATGCCAATATTGGTAAACTATGATTTCATATTAAAAGAGGAAGAGAATTCTGGAGGCCAATAAGGACTTGATATAAAATGCTATATTCTGAATCATATAAAGAGAATCATGGAAATGTTAGCTTATAGGGCTCATGATTTCATATTAAAAGAGGAAGAGAATTCTGGAGGCCAATAAGGACTTGATATAAAATGCAATATTCTGAATCATATAAAGAGAATCATGGAAATGTTAGCTTATAGGGCTTGTATGACTAGTACGGGATACAATGCCATACAAGGTTTGAAATGTCTCCAACACAAAACCTGAGTTTCCAACTAACAAGGGACAGACAGCAAATCCCTGGTAACCCAAAATCCACAAGCTTTTAAGGAAGACAGAACAAGGCAGAGACATTATAAAACTCCAATCCAAATCTTCAGGAACATGTCAGATCCCCTCGGCATCACCTTTTCTTTCTATATATCTACTTACTCTCCCTTTGCACTAAGAACTGTCTCACTACTTATTGGATTATTCTTTGAGGGAAACTGTTGGCAGTATAAAATCTACAATAAAAGGAGAAATTAAAAAACAAAAACAAAAACAAGAAAAAAATTGTTGGTTGATATTCTAAGACATAATAATAATTTAGCAACTACTGGCTCTCAAGCTTTCTCTAGGACTTCATGGAGGAATACATGGAAAGGGGCTTTAGTTTCATTTTTGTGAAACTAAACTATGGAGCTTTATGACCATCTATCACCTGACAGCTGGATGTTCTCCTGTCCTAAATGGAAGTTAACTCATCTCCCCACTACCCACCTCTCCACTAACCACCTCCTTCTCCATGTCCAATTACTAAGTCATTTTATTATATATTTTTAGCATTTACAGATTAGTTTTAAAGTAAGTATTAGTTCTGAAAATAGAACAGATTCTACATAAAAATTAAATACTGCTGAGTTGTGAATACATACACAGCATGATCTGTCTTCATTGATTTATTTACTCATTCTGTCATTCAGCAAATATTCATTGAGCCTCTCTACTATATGCCAGGCATTCGTCTAGTGGCTGGGAATCTACTGGTGAGCCAGAGTGACCCTTTCCTTGCCTTCCTGAAACTTACACCTAGCAGAGAATATGAAATAAATAAAATCATAATTAATTATAATTTTGTTAAGAGCTCTGAAGAAAAAATTCAGGGTGATGAAAGAACATAATGGGGGAACCTAGCAGTATACGGTGTTGGGGAGTCTCACAAAGAGACATTTAAGCTGAGTCATAAAGGATAAGTAGAAAGAAGCCTGGTGAAATGCGGCTGGCACAATCATTTGGGTGAAGGGAACGGAGCAATGAAGATTGTGAAGGCAGAAGGACTCTGGTGCATTCTAGAATCTGCAAGAAAGACATTTCTGCCAAAGGGTTGCTAGCATGGGAGAGAATGGTAGGAGAATCCCAGTGATATATTTAGTACAGCATCTGGCTCAAAGGGGATGCTCAATAAATGGTCATGGACAAAAGCCCTTAATAACAGCCTGGACTAGATTAAATACAGCTGCCAAGTCTTCCATTTTTCTCCTTTGGTTATTCTTTGTTCAGCTATGTCCTCGAAAAGTACTTCATGCACATTTTATTTGGGTATCACAACTTTCTCCCCAGATGGCAAATAACAAATCAAGCTGGCAATCAGAAACTAAAGGGCTAGGGTCTGTGTGCATTGTTCTTTCAGACAAGTTCTATTTTCTGGAAGGGACTGTGTATGGAAACATAGAGACTGCCTGATTAACGTCTAGATAATAACATAGTCGGATCTAAACTGCTTTACTAACAAATCTGAAAGCACATCATGTTGGCTGGAATGGTCAGTTCAGAATGGCAAAATGGTACATGAAGGAGAAGGCTATGAGAAAGCTGACAGATTTGTTCATGTAGCATCCAAACACAACCAGATGGTGGGTTTTTTGATGTCTTTGCTCCCAGTATGAATTAGTGTATTATAAGAATGTTTGAGGGACTTTGTAACCCTGTTCGCCTTTCTTTGGCCATAAAGCCATCATAAAATCAACCATTCTGTAGGTACTTAATATCTTTGATGAGGATCTTAACTAGCTTTAAAAATTAAGTCGCCAATTTTAATAGGTATATAAAGCACTTTATGCATTAAAATCATCCCCATTTCATTGGGGGGAAATACCTTGTAAAGGAGTGAGATTTATGGATCTGCTTTGGCTAATGGCTCTCCCTAATTCATAGAGTTTAAATAAGGACTAATTTTATAATAGTTCACTGGTCCCAGACTCATCTATATTCATCTTATTTACTTGGTAATGGTCTTCAGTGCCTAGCACAGTGCCTTATTTATATCAAACTTCATCTCTGTAAAATGCTAGTGAGAGCCAAGCATAAAACACAAAGGTCCCTGCCAAAATATTGCTATAAAGTCTGTTCATTTTTTGTTCATTCGTTCATTCATTTGCCATACAACTATCAGATTTTCTCCGAGCCTGACATGGATTCAAGTCTCTGCCCTTATGGAGTTTACTATGTAATGCAGAAAGATACTAAGCAGCAGTATATTATGCTGGTGAAGAGTTCAGGCTCTGGAACAAGGCATCCTGGGTTCATATTCTGGCTCCACCACTTATTAGCTGTGTGACCTTATATGGAGTTTACTATGTAATGCAGAAAGATACTAAGCAGCAGTATATTATGCTGGTGAAGAGCTCAGGCTCTGGAACAAGGCATCCTGGGTTCATATTCTGGCTCCACCACTTATTAGCTGTGTGACCTTGCCATGTAACTTTACCTTGCTGTGCCCAGCTCTCCTTATCTGTAAAACATGGATAAAAAATAGTGCTTACCTTAAAAGGCTACTGTGACAATTAAAAGAGGTTTAAATAATGGTTACTGTATAGAAGGGGATAAGAATAGTACCTGGTACACAGCAAGTGCTACGTAAGTATTTTCTATTAATAACAGGTAGATAATTATGTAAACTATTTCATTACAATGGTGACAAAACCACTACATTTTAGTATATATTTTTTAATAATTAAAGGTTTTGATGTCTAAAGGGGTAAATAAACCTGGCTACACCTAAAACTTGGTTATCCTGAATAAATCATGTCTTTAGAGCATTTTCTTTTTTTTAAATATTTTTTTGAGGAGAAATTCCCATTAACATAAAGTTAACCATTTTAAAGCAAACTATTCAGGGGCACTTAGTACATTCACAGTGTTGTGCTACTACCA